AAAAAAAAAAAAAAAAAAAAAAAAAAAATCAGATGCACACTATTATTAGAGGTGACTGCTCATACCACCACCTCTAGTAGAGGTCGCTGGCTTTTCGTTTTAAATAATAATAATAATAATAATAATAATAATAATAATAATAATAATAACAATAATAATAATAATAATAATAATAATAAATTGTTATGTGGAAAGTCCTTCCAAGATACTCATGGGGCCGACCCGAATTTGGCGCGTACCTGGAGTCTGGGTGGACAAAATGCTACCCAGGCCTTGTCTTGTAGTGCTGCTATGGTGTCTGGGTTGCCGATCGGAGAGTTGTATAGCGGACAGTTATTGCAGCCATGCCGCGTGTCCAAGGTTTTCTACGTCTCTGAGAGCTGTCCACCAACTATACAGAGGGCCTCGCTCCACTATTGTCTGCTGTACGATAACGGCCAGTGGGACGTCACTCCCCTTGCTGTCCACTCGACTCCACTGTACATGTGCGAAATGGCTTGGACAGTGCAGTGGTCAGAAACCCTGCGGGAAAAAAAAAAAAAAAAAAAAAAAAAGAAACCCTGTGGGAAATCGACTGTCCGTGAATAAACAAACAGCTCCCAGCCTGCAAAATTCGTTACGCGGAAAGTCCTTCAAGGAACAAGAGGCTCGCCACACAGGCTGTCGAAAACCCGGTTTTCGACAATTTTGCATCGCCACACAGGCTGTCGACGAATTCGGGTTCAGAAAAATTTCGACAGGTTTCAGATTTGTGCTTTCGACAGCCACCATCCCGCACTCGTTTCCTCCCGCCTGCAGCTCAAGGAAATTCGACAGTCCACCGCGGGGCTTTCGAAAATTGCGTTCAAATTTGGGTTGGCCAGACTGCTCCCTGACAGCCATGGCCTGTTTGTCCGTATATAGTCAACAGTGCCTGTTGAAACGGCGTCTGCATCTGGTCCCTTGGGTGGACAAATTCATATATGTAACATCACCACACAGCACCTGTCGAAAGGCGGTGGCGACTTGCCTGCTTTCGACAATTTCGCCTTTCGACAGCCTGTGTGGCGATAGGGGGCAAAATTGTCGACGGCCGGGCTGTCGAAAAATCACTGACACCTGTCGAAAATTTTCGACATTCGACAGCCTGTGTGGCGAGGCTCTAACTCACGGTGAGGACCTATGGATGCCCTGTCTTGTAGTTCTATCACTGTGTCTTGTAGTGAAAAACTCACAAATTTGAGAAGTGTCACGCGGACAACAAGGGCGTACTCACACAGTGGTGGCATAGCAGCAAAATCTGTCGGCGAAATTTGCAATCCCCCTTTTACGTGAATTACTACGCCGCCTGGTCACACAGCAGGATCAAATCGAAAAGGACATGAGCCGAACTTACTGCCAATTGCTGAAATGGTGCCTCGCATGGTCACATGGTGCGAGGCCCAAATCCTTCGACCGTTTTTTTTTTTTTTTTTTTTTTTTTCCCTCTGGCTTGGAGCAGTTGATAGAAGTGCCAAAATTTCCTTTCACGAAATCCCAAACTGAAAAAGGAATTTGCTACCAGTGGTAGCGGAATGCCCTTTCCCGCGACTCGCCAGGCTGCTGACATTCGCTACCCCGTTTGCTACGTCTGCTACTTTCCGCCCTCGTGCGACTGGCCCAACCATCAAATATTTGCGATTTTGCGATAAAAGGCCCTAGTGTGAGTATGCCCTAACTGGAACGATGCCACGTTTTCCCAGATTTTGAACTCTCTGGGCCTCGCTCCACTACTGTCCGCTGTACAAAAACGGCCAGACTGAGTCGGACGTCGCTCCACTTACTGTCCGACGGTGTTTGTTGTACAAGTGCGAAACGGATTGGACAGTGGTCAGAAACTCCCTCCACCAATGGGCCTAGCTCAGTTGGTACACCCCCAAACTGTTAACATACAGATCCAAGTTCAAATCCAGATACAATCACATGACCAGAATAAAATCATTCTGAATTACCTGGGGCCGGTCAGCTCAATGATGATATCTCAAGGACCCAAAAAAAAAAAAAAAAAAAGATATCTCAAGCCCGTCGCCCTTTAAAAAAAGAAAAAAAAAAGAAAAAAAAAAAGAAACTCCCTCCGTGGAAAATCGACTGTCCGTGAATGTTCAGATCCCCAGCCTGCAAAGTGTGTTAGCGCATCGCCAGACCACTCTTGAAATGTGGAAATTGAGAATGAACTTCCCGCTAGAACATGGCCAGATGCGCCCGCCAAATTTTTGTCTTTTGCACTTTTCGAGAGTGGTGTGGCCAGGCCCTTATGCCGAAAGCCCGTCAAGGAACTCACCATGAGGAGCCGAATTTGGAGAGTGTACCTAGAGTCTGGGCAGACAAAACCCTATGGAAGGCCCGTCTTGTAGTTCTATCACTGCGTCTGACAGTGAGCTCACGAATTTGAGAGGTGTACAGCGGACAGTAAGTGGAGCGATGCCGCGTTTTTCTTCCGCGATTTCGAACTCTCTGACTGCTGTCCGTGAACTGTCCACAAATTTGTACAGCGGACAGTAGTGGAGGGAGGCCGAAAATTATGTATAGCAGTGGAACTGGACCGAGGGCCCAAGAACCCTGAAAAAAAAAAAAGAAAAAAAAAAAAGAAAAGAAAAAACAAAGCAAACGACGTCTGGCAAGTCGTCCCTGGTGAACCCCACTCGTGACTCATCATAATGACATAATCTTCTTTTTTTCTTTTTTCAACAAATATTTGGACCATTTCTCGATTTACGCAGGTCATCCATGCGCAGGGGCCATGCTAATCTATCTTCTCTTTCTCGTTCCCATTTTAACGGATGTCCCGAAGGACCTCATTATCATCTTCAACCACTGGTATGGATGAAGAGGATGAACAGGGGCTGTCGAAGACGGTAGCTGGGACACTGGGAGGAGGGACCGCCACTTGGGGCAGGAGGCGCAGAGGGATAGATAGATAGATAGATAAATAGATAGATAGATAGATAGATAGATAGATAGATAGATAGATAGATAGATAGAAAGATAGAAGGATGGGATAGATATATAGAAGGATAGGATAGGATAGGATAGGATAGGATAGGATACGATACGATAGGATACGATAGGATAGGACAGGACAGGTAGATAGATAGATAAATCAGATAGATATAAAAAAGAGAGAGAGAGAGACAGGGAGACAGAGAGACAGAGAGACAGAGAGACAGGGCCTGCCCGCACGGCAGATGACACGGGGGAAAAAAAATGACTGCATCGGCCCACGAAATGTGTCAAAAAAAATTCTTTACTATATAGTATATATTGTCACATAACTATGAACTAAAAGAGTGCAATTTGCGAAACAAACGGCAAAAAAAAAAAAAAAAAAAAAAAAACAGACAAACATGAAGGGCACAGTGAAACCATTCATTTTACTCATTCTTCTTTTGAGTTGCACTTGTTTCTTTTTTTGTGTGCGGTGCGGCGAGGCCCACATAGATAAATATTAAATAGATAGATAGATACATAGATAAACAGATAAACAGATAGATAGATAAATAGATACATAGATACATAGATAGATAGTAGATACATATTAAATAAAAAAATAGATAGATAGTAGATACACAGAAAGCACAAGAGAGAAAAGGTGACCAAAACCACAAAAGCAAAAAAAAAAAACTGAAAAAAAAGAGGGAAACAGAGGTGCCTTTTTATTTTTCTCTCCTGAGGGCATGCTCACACTAGGACTTTTCTGACCCACCCCGGATGCACCTGGCTGCAATTAGGTCCACAGAGAAGTGAAAAAAGTCCTAGTGTGAGTATGCCCTTAGGGTGCGCAGTAGGTGCCAGACCAGACCCGACACTCACATGCTCAGGGATTACTCACACCATCTCTATCTCATATGTATCTGACCGCATTTACGGCCGGACCTGGATGTATCTGCTCCGCAATTACGTCGGTAAACAAGTTAAAAAGTCCTCTTCTTCCCCCGAATACAGCATACGGTCGTTATAGCTGTATTTGGGGCACCCTTCGGTCTAAATATAGCTATAATGACCGTACGTTGTAGCTGTATTTGGGGTATCTTTCGGTCTAAATACAGCTAATTAGCAAATCCGGATATTTGGATGCCCTTCAATTATCTGGGTTGTCCGGCCGGACCTTCAATTATCTGGGTTGTCCGGCCGGAAGAAGGGCACCGAATAATACCGGAAATACCATTTCCAGGGCCTGCGCAAAATGTGCGCAGGGCCAGAAATTTTACTCCGTGGTGTCGTGGGGTAGAGGGTGGCAGCCCGAACACCTTCCCACTTTCATATTTTCAAGGGGGCCTACCAGTTTCGAGGATAAAAAGGCCCGATCTGGGCCATTGATCGACAATGATCCACGGCCCAGATCGGGCCTTTTTTGAATTTGAAATCATGCAACCCCTGTTTCCGACTGTGCACGGTGTAGTGGCCTGGCCCACCCGTCCCTCCCCACCAACGGCCCGCTGCCCCATGCCCGCATTGCCTGCTGCTCGTCGCACCCCCGTGCTTTGGAGCTGATGGCCCGCTGCCCCTCCCCGCTGGTTACCTGTTGTTGCCATCGCCGCCGCCCTTGGTGGCCATCGTCGGGAGCCTCGTCCTCCACCTCCAGGTAACACACGTCATCCCCCTTGACCTCCCTCCACCTCCTCCTCCTCTTCCTCCTCCTCTTCCTCTTCCTCGTTCTCCTCCGCCTCATCCTCCTCGTCTTCCTCCTCCTCCTCCTCTTCCTCTTCCTCGTTCTCCTCCTCCTCCTCCTCCTCATCTTCCTCCTCCCTCTCGTCCCCGTCCACGTCGTCGTCGTTCTCCTTCTCCTCCTTCTCCACCACCTTCGTCCTCCTTGTCCTCCTCCTCGTCCTCCTCCTCTTTGTCCTCCTCCTCTTCTTCTTCTTCTTCCTCCTCCTCCTCCTCCTCGTTGTCCTCTTCCTCCTCCTCTTCCTCCTCGTCCTCTTCCTCCTCCTCTTTCTCCTCCTCTTCCTCCTCCTCCTCCTCCTCCTCCTCGTCCTCTTCCTTGTCCTCCTCTTCCTTGTCCTCCTCCTCTTCCTCCTCCTCGTCTTCTACTTCTTCGTCTTCCTCCTCCTCCTCCTCCTCCTCCTCCTCCTCCTCCTCCTCCTCCT